GCACACAGTGTTCAAATTGTATTATTAAAATATTATGAAGGTAAATGTAATCTGCATGATAACAAAAATATGTAAACTACAAAAAAAGTGAGGAAGTAATTAGCATGTGTCATTAAAGAAATAAACTGAAGAAAAAAGGAGACAATGATGGAAGAAATTAGGGGATAAAAAGTTATTTAGTATGTACAGAAAATAAATAGCAATGTTGCAGAATACAGGCAGTCTTCAAAAAGTTAATAGAAAGTGCATATTATAAAAAAGTTGTGCATGGATTTCTGATATTTTTTGCATCAAAATAAACTCAGACTTTAATCCCATTCAATGTGAACCTTTTGAAGTCCCCCTCATAAAATTTTCCTTATTAGTAATTACTCTAAATGTAAATGGATTAATCTCTTTAATCAAAAGCTAGAGGTTGTCATAATGGATAAAAAATTAAGCAGGATCCAATTCTATGCTATCTACAAACAGAAATCTACAAGTAGGTGTCTTTATTGTTTTACGTTTAATTTTCATTTGTTTACTTGGATACTGTTCATTACTGCTCTGCCCGATGAGGCCCAGCTATGTGCTTATTTATTTCCCACACATCTTTCATCTCCTGACCTTGTTTTCTTGGATTTTTGTTTGTTTGTTTGTGTTTTAATTTTTTCCAGAGAGTGCATGTACTTGCCTGAGAGAAACAGACAGAGAGAGCAAGAGAGAGAAAGTAAGAAAGATCCCCGTGGGAGGTGGTCCACTTCTCTCTTTTAGGGACTTGGCCGTGCATGCACACATTCCTGGAGTGTTTCCCAAGCTGCCAGGTCTGGAACTCACACTGTGCCATCAGCCATGTGGGATCCAGTTGCCTTCACCGCCACACCGCTGGTTGGCCCCTGTCTGTTCTAAGGTCTGGTTTTTTACTCTGCCCTTGGAAAGGTCTCACAAGTTTGCCCTTTTTTTCCCTCTCAGAATGTGGTCCACAGGCCAACAGGATCATCACCCGGGAAACTCACACATTCTGACTCAGGATTTGAATTTTAACAAGATCCCATAGTGACTTCTGCGCCCATTAAAATTTAAGAAGCATCTCATGGCATTAAATTTAGATTTCAGCCATGTCAATTCTACTGTCTTTGTCTTCAGTATGAATTGTTTAAAAGTTTATTTATTTCTCCTATTAAAAAGAGGAGGTTCCAGAGGAACCAGCAGTTAGCATAATGGCTATGTCGCTGGACTCCCACATAGTCGACCGCGGTTCGTGTCCCGGACCCGGTGGCTTAAAACTCACGCCGGGCGCGTGTGCGTGCGTGCCCAAGATCCCGAGAGGAGAATGGAGGAGAAGGGATTGCGGCATGACCATCCCCCCTGGGGGGTGATTTCTCACTTTCTGTCTCTATGTCTCTCTCTGTCTGTCTGGCGAGCGCACGCGCCCTACAGTGAAAATCTCTCCAAAAAAAAAAAAGAAGAGGAGGTTCCAGAGACACAGGAACCACCGTTGATCCATGCCCGGCATACTCAGGGAGGCCTCTGGATGTGAACCTGGAGCCTTCCTGTGTGGGTCAGCCTTGCAGAGAGGTGCATGTTCCCACTGCTCCATGCCCGACCTTTCAGTGCCAGTTTTAACCCAGTGCTTGCGGCCAGGAGTCCTCGCATTCTGTGCAGTGTTGACACTGCCCATCTGTCTATGACTTCATTTCAGACCGTGTTTCGTTTTGTTTTGTTTATGTGTTCCTGTCCTTTGTTTTGTTTTGTCTCTTTTATAGAGGTTTTAGCCTTACAATGTGTGTGCTCACACATCGTAAGATGACAGAAAGAGACAGAGAGTGAGAGGCAAAGCGAGGCAAATCTCTTCTCTTCCATTCTCCTCGTGGGATCTTGGGCACACACACGTATGCGTCCAGCATGATTTTCAAACCACTGGGCTGAGGACTCAAACCATGGTCGCCATGTGGGAGTCCAGTAACGTAACGGCCACTTCCTTGGCTGGTCCCCATCCTTGTTTTAAAGGTCGTGTTCACGTCTTTCTGTTGGTAACCAGACGTGTGTCCCCCAGATTTTTCAACCTTCATGTTCATTTCCTCAGACACCTGTTTTATTAGGAATGTTGGTTCTGAGCTGGGACAGACCCACCGGTTTTCTAGTGACAACACGTCTATGGTGAATACTGGTCCTCCAGCCCCTTGCGTCGGAAGCTTTAGCCTCTCGGGTGTGCATCTAGAATCAGGTTAACGGGCTGCATCTGTTCTGACGAGCCTCCATGTACTTGGGGTGGGTCTTCCTCTCCTGCTGGACTGCCTGCTGAGGCCATGAGCTCAGAACTGCTGTGTGCCACTTTGAGACTGAGTGGCATTTCCACCTGCATCCAGGGTACCCTGTAGCCATGACTGGTGTTCCTCCCAGCCTCCTGGTCCCACGCGTCTGGCCGTATCTCCCCAGCACTTCAATCCAGAGACTCACGCTCGCTGAATCAAGACATGGGCAAGCACGCTGCTGGCCCAGCCTGTGCAGAGGAACTTTCTGAAGCAGTCTATCCCTGCCTGGCACAGCAGCCACCAGCCCGAGGCGCGAGGCCATCACGCACTTGTAATGTAGCTAGGGAGTCGGAGAGACGATGTTTCTATTTCACTTCATTTAAGATATACGCCTAAGTCATGGCCACGTCTAGTGACTACTGTGGACCGTGTAGTCCCAGATTGCGAAGGCTCCCAGTGACCTACTTAGATCCAGGTAGCCAAGGTGACTCCGGCCACTTCCCGACTCTTTCAGACTGCCTCCTGCCTTCCTCTTCCGAGGCCTGAACTTCTGGTTCTTTCTGTGGAGCTGCATTCATCCAGTTCCCAGGCAGGTGCTCCAGGATCTGGCGTGTACTTTCTGCTTCAGTTTTTAGACCAAAGTGATTGTATCTGGGTCTTCCTGTAGCTTTATCGCCATATTGCTTAAAATTGAGCGGAGACACAGCAGGCTGATTTCGTCTGCCCGATGTGGCTGCTCATTTCGCAACTGGTGTGGCTGAATGGTAGCGGCCGGCTGAATGTGGAAACGGTGTGCTTATTTTAGAGACGGGCTATCCACTAAGGGTTTTGCTATCTTAGGACATGTCACGGTATATCGGGTTGTGATTCTTGTTTATTTACAGATTAGCTTTTTCACTGCGTGCAGTTACCTGTGTTTTTGTGTTGTATCAGTTGTCTACAGCCACAACTTCGCTGCCGCCGGATCAGGGCTAATGAGCGTCTTCGCTGATCCCAGCTGGCTCGCCCACAGACTAGGCGCGGTGACTGCTGTGGTTTGGATAACGGTTTGTCCTCTGCAGGTTCAGGCTTTGGAACTTGGTCCCAGTTGGCCTTGGAAGGCAGTGAGACCTTTGAGGGGCGAGGCCTCATGCGTGGTGCTCAGATCACGGAGGCAGGACCCTCATGAATGGATTTTTGCTGTCTCAGAAGATGGAGTGAGTTCCAGCTCGCATGAGAAAGTTTAGTTCCCAGGAGAGGCACTTGCTGTAAAAGGAAGGTGGCACCTGCCCCCCTGGGCGCCTGCCTGCCACCCTCTCCGCTTCTGCTTCTGTCAGCCGTGTGGAGACCCAGCGTCGGAGTCCAGTCTGACATCAGCCATGGCCAGGCCTTTGGACTTTCCAACCACCAGAATCGTGAGCCAGATAAACCTCTGTTTTATAAATCACCCTATGGGAGTGTTTCCGTTAGCAACACAGTGGAGGACTAAGACCGTGACCCGCGAGCTTACGGGGTGTTCTCAGAGGAGGCGAGTGGGCACCTCCGCCTGCTCCCTGGGTCCACTCTCCTCCTGGGACCAGCACTCTCTGGACATGGCCCTGTCACAGCACAGGCAGAAGACAGGAGACAGGAACAGGCTGCCTCTCGAGGCGGAAGCTTGAACCTGACAACCATCCACTTCTCCCATTGCATCAGACGAAGCAAACTGCGCAGTCAGCCCGCATTCAAGAGGTGGGAGACAAACAGCTCCTCTGCAGGGAGGAGGATTGCAAAAGATGTGGAGGACAGCAGGTCCTGGAAGGAGCAGGGACAGGCTGCTAACGCAGCACGACTCACCACGGCGGCCTTCTCGGCATCAGCCTCCAGGTCTCCATAGCAAAGCTCTTCGGGCGGTTCTGCCAGCATGCTCTCCCATGTATTTGTGAAACCAAACAAGAAGGGAGAAAGCGGATGGCCCGTGCCCTGTCACTTACCCGTATTGAAGGGTAAGTGTTTGCTGAAGGAAAGTGCTTGGTCTATTTGACTTAGGTCAATAATTAGGATTAAGGAATCCTAGCCTCTTCATTCCTAATGACGGAAAACACGATAAATGGTAGCTGCCCCCCACCTCGTGTACCTAGCATCTGGGGACCCAGGAAGGAAGACGTGTGACTTGTTGCAGAGCAGTGCAAAGGGCTGAAGTCACTGTGAAGTGACACCTGTCTGTGGGGCTGTCCCCTGGGCATAGGCACGGGTACTTCTCAGAGCCCTGGAACCTCCAGGCGTCCTGGGCGTGCACCAGAAGCCACACAGAAGGTGTCACAGATCTGCTCCCATGTCTGTTAGGGTAACAAAGTCTTGAGCAGAGAGCCAGGATGCCACCGTGGTCCTCACTGCAGCCAAAGCCATAAAGCTCGCCAACAGAGGCTTCTCTTCAGCTCCACAGACCCAGTTCTGCAGGGCCAAATCCTGCAGGTAGAGAGTCAATCCTGCAGCTGCAGGACACAGAGACCACATGGCTGCCGACACAGAGTCTCGTCTAAGCATGTATTATACATGTCTCAAAACATCTTGTCATACACCATAAATACGTACAATGTTGATTTAATTTTCGATTAAAAATAAATTTTTAAAGATAAAATGTGTTTGTTTTTTCTTGATAAAGCAGGTCCATCACACTCCTTCGGTCTCTCCGCATGCACGGTGACATTTGGCCGGCGTCTGGTCCTCAGGACCCTCGCGGCGTATCTGGAAGCAGCTGCCCTGCTCCGTCTCTGACCGCCGTCTCTGTCCCCCTCTGTGTTTCAGAATCACCACGACAGCCGCGTGCATGATGGACCTGAGGAGGTACCCGCTGGACGAGCAGAACTGCACGCTGGAGATCGAGAGCTGTACGTGTGTCCGTCCCTTCCCTCCCGCTGGCCCAGGCCTTGTCACTGTGCAGGTTCCTCTCCAAGGCCTCTGGGACTTCCTTGACGTCTTTTTAGCTATCTTAAGAATTAAGATTGAATTCCCCACGCTACAGGTACCACTGTCTTAACTGAGAGAGATTAGGGAGACAGAGAGGCAGAGACGCAGCGCACGGTAGTTCTCTGTTCTCCCTGAGTGGCGAGTCTGTTTGCTGCGCTGACGCGTAAGACAAGCGTTCCCTTCAGCCCGTCCTGGCGAAGGGCGCGGATGCTGTGAGGCCATTTTCTTACAGTACGCTACGTCGTGCGTGAGTGGCTCCACTGCTGGGCCTGGGCAGTTGGAGGAAAACCCACTTCCCATCAGGAACTCAGCCCTCTGAGCTCTGAGGGCTGCTGCATCTCGGCCATGCTCTCCAGTCTGGGCAGTGTAGACGCCCTGCTGACCGCTCCACGCTGAGGACTTCTCTGAGATTGCACAGGCAGCCGTCCTCCCGCCCCTGGGCACATCTCCGGGCATCCTGGGGTGTCACTGCAGTCACCTTTGTCTGTGGGCGGGCAGTGTATGATTAGTCCCTGTTAGAGTTCGGCTTGTCGGTACTTACGCCGCGCTTGGTGGTTAAACGGCTAGGACGCTGCAGTGTCCCTGATGCAGCTGCGCTGAGAATCTGTGTCTCTGTGAATAAGCGCAGTGAGAAATGACACTGTCGACAGGCTCGGTCTAGATCCTGGGGGAAGCTGGCCCCGCCATGGCCCTCGCTCCTACACTTTGTCACTGTCAGTCCCTGAGGGCTGGGCTTTCCCACACGGTGGCGGGCATAGAATTACGTCAAGTGATGCATAATTGAATCGTCGAGGGACGTTCACGGTGGAGGACAGGAGGCTCAGGGAAGGAGGATGATTTTCCACACCCGGCGGACTACCCTAAGAAGTTAAATGCATTCTGGGCGTCCGGAGGGCACAGTTCCAATGAGTTGATGAATATTTCAGGAAGGCAAACTTGGGATCTAAATAAGGAAGCAGCTCCTGCTCCGGCTGTCGGAGCACATCGTGAGTGACTTCCGAGAGTGTGGACTCTGCCGCTGCCATGTGTGGCCGTGGTGGACAACGAGCGGGGAGGTCCACTGTGAGGTTCCCTCACGTGAGGCCCCTCCCCGCAGAGAATCTCTGCTCGAGGCGTCTGAGTGAAAGAAAGGATTCTCCCAGTTTTCTGGTGGCCTGACTACACGCATCTCTGTGCTAGAAATGCACAAAGAAAGACGTGGCTTTATTTCCAGTAGGGGCGAATTTTTACAAAAGCATCTCCTGCATTCTTACTGCCCCTCTCTGTTCTAAACAGAGGCACGTACAGAAGAGACAGGAAATCATTAGACAGAAAACAGACAGTAATAAACGTTTTGAAGAAAGTAAAGTTGGATAGAAGTGTAACTCGTGACGTGAGAGTGTTTGTGAGGTGGAGGGCCAGAGAGGGCTCCTGCAGGGTTTTATTGATGTCGAGATGCAGCTGTGGGGAGGCGTGGGCCATGTGAGGCTCTGCAGGTATGTCCCTGCAGAGAGCAGAGCACACAAGTCCCTGGGCACAGGTGCTGGCCAGCGAGTCCGGGCTGGACGACCAGGGCAGGAGGGTGGTCAGACCTGCCAGTTCTCTCTGTAAGGAGCTTCTACTTGCATTGCTGATCGCATTGGGAAACATGAGGGTCTTACGCAGAAGTGTGGCGTGGTAAGACTACCATGGCTGCCAGGTCAGAATGAAATATGCAGACGTTAGGAGGATGGGGATGGACACAGGTGTGGCCACTGTGATCTGAGCGCGTGGGACGGGGAAGATGACATTAGCTGTGGAGAATGGTCCCCACCATGGCTGTGTTCTGTCTGCGCACATCAGATGTTGAATGTCTACCTTGTTCCTGAGGTGTACATTCAGATCAGTCTGCTGGACCAGGACAATGTTACCTCCAGATCTGTGTTTCAGTTGGTCACATCGGTCACACCGACCTGACCTTGTAGGAGACTCCTGGTGTTCTAAGACCGGACCTTCTTGTCCTGTTTTCTCCTTCCCAAGAGGTGTCGGATGACCCCCTAGTGAGCCTGGTGCTGCCCCAGGAGCTGAAATCTGACTGAGGACCACTCCCCAGTGCTGAGGCCCACCTGGGCAGAGCTCTGAGGCCCGGGAGTACCCCAATAATGGGCATTTCCAAGGCTGGTGGCCGTCGTGGCCAAAGGAGCTGAGCAAACCACCAACATGCCGAGAGAGAAGCCCTACTTGGCTCTAGGAGCCCCTCGTGCGGTCGGCATTGACTGCCATGTTTTCCTCGGTCTTCTGCTTGTCAGTAGCTCCCAGAATGCTTCATCTCCAAATTCTCATTTTCTCTTAGAACCCTCTGAATCACTGCTCTTTGGCCGTGTTCGGAGTTGTCTGTGTGGTGTCTGGGTCCACTCTCAAGTTACACTTTGCACACAGAACTCTGGACAGGGCACCTGCTTCCCTGGTTTGTCTGTTTCTCAACACCAGCTTCATAGGAAGCAGAGGGCAGAGGTTAACATAGGCATAGGGGACAGTGAGGTCTCGATGGCCTCTCTCAGATAAGCCCATTCAACTGAACTGCCTAAAAGTGAGAAAAGCCATGGCTTCCATTTTGTTAATGACCGTTTCCAGAGCTGTCACTCACACGCAGAGATGGCGTGCCTCACTGCCACATGCCCCCTCTCTCCTGGCAGATGGCTACACCACGGATGACATTGAGTTTTACTGGCGTGGCGGGGACAAGGCCGTTACGGGAGTGGAGAGGATTGAGCTCCCACAGTTCTCCATTGTGGAGCACCGCCTGGTCTCCAGGAATGTCGTCTTTGCCACGGGTGAGTCCCTTGTCTACTCGGTCACTCAGGGGCACCCGCTACCCGCACTGGGGTGAGAGTGTCCGTGTGTGTGCGATGCGTGCAGCCAATGCAGCGCTGAGGACCATCCCAGTAAGTTGTCATTGTGCACACCCCCTTTTCTCTGAATCTGAAGGGGACTAATGAGCGTGGTGGGTCAGACCAACCAAGAACATGCTGTGTGAGGCTGGTTACTGCCAAGCTAAAAGGCAGGGGCATTCAACACACCGTGATAAGAGAAACTCTTCTTCGCGGGCAGGCATACAGCCACGGATGGCCTTGAAACCAGGAAGAAAGGAGAAAGGAAGTGAGGGCCAAGTGGGTGCTCTTCTCCCAGGAGTTGGGCCCCACTCCCACTCCCACTCCTGCCCCGGGCCACGAGGGTGCTGCACAGGGTCTGTCGCGTTTTCACGCAGCATCATCAGAAAGTCTGACAAGTTTGTGGACTGTCACTTCTGTGAGAGTCTGTGTCCACTTAGAATGGCCTTCCCAAGTCCACTAGCTCAAAACCACTCAGGGCAGTCTGTCTTTTCGTTCAGCACGTATGCGGTCGCACATGCCCTGACTAGGTCTGGAATAGCATACACTGCGGGCATGGAGGGAGTCTGTCATTGGCACCCCGTGAGGCATTCAGGACACCACGCCGGGTCTTCCATCCAACCGAACTGAATTCCTGCATTGGCCCCCATCGAGTGGTCCCCAGACCTCCCACCCCTCAAAGGCTTTTTAAATTGCTTTAAGTCACCTATACATGAAGATGTAACAGAAACCACATCACTTTAAAATATTTCTAAAATTAAATATTACACTAACTTCTTATACTATCCATACATTTTACAAGTCTTCCGAATTAATGAGATTTCCCTCAGGAAATGGGGTTGAAGGACTCTGGTCCAAGAACGAATTTTCGAGGAAAGCGGTTAGTTAAGGACACACGCTGGGCGTTCTGAGGCCAGACGAAATGCATGTTGATCTCACGTGAGCCGTGACGGTGCCTGTGACCCGGGACCGGCTGGAGCTGGGAGTGGGTCAGGGCATCAAGACCGTAATGGGGTGCTGGCTCCTGCCTGTCTGTTTCTGTTTCTGTCTCTTTTGCTCATGGAAAAAATATTTTTTTAAAAAAATGACTTACGAAAAAAACAAGGAAGTAGACTGCCGAGGTGCCCAGCAGCCCCCACTCCAGCCCCCTCTAATTCCCTCTCCTGCTTGGCCTCGTCTGCAGGCTCACGGGCACTCAGGCTGCCGTAGGTTTCTGTTGGCACCAGAAGCTCTTGTCTTGAAGGGTGTGTCCTCGTGCAGCTAATTTGTCACTTCTCAACCTCAAATTATTCATTATCAGCTGTGGTCATTTGGGGGTTTCCCCAAAGAAACAGCAAATACCACAGTGGTCCTTCCTGCCCACACTAAAACTTTGTCCAAAGGAAGTCAGTGAAACAGTTGCCAGTGCTCACTACAGATCTGTGGGCACCTCCTACTGTGGAACTTACCGAAGCTTAAAACAGGATTTCTAAGAACCAGCAGACAGCACAATGGTTATGTGGCTGGACTCCCACAGAATCAACCATGGTTCGAGTCCTGGACCTGATGGCTTGAAACTCATGCCTGGCGCGTGTGGGTACAAGTCAGAGGAGAATGGAGGAAAAGGGAGTGTGGCATGGCCATCCCTCCTGGGGGATAATTTCTCACTTTCTGTCTCTCTGTCTCTGTCTCTCCAGCAAGTGCACACACTGCATAGCAAAAAATCTCCCTCTCAAAAAAAAAAAAAAAAAAAAAAAAACAAGTTTTTTAAATCACAGGGTTAAAGATGGAAGGGATAGATTCAGCTACCTTAAAACATGTGAGTCTCTGGGTAGCTCCCAAACTCATTACAAGGGCTACACAGACAGCTGGGAACACTTACGAAGAATACAGGCAAGGATTCAAACAGAAAGAACTGAAGTGAAAAGATCAGACCAGTGTGAAGAAAGAAATGAGAAAAATGAAGGACCAACAGAATCAGATCATTCATAAAATGAAATGCAGAGAACAAACAGCCATATAGGAAAAAGTCGGTTAGAGAAAAGAATGGGAAGGACAGGTTTTGCTCACAAGAATTGGAAAAGTATGCGAGCTGTTCTATAGTGGTGTGTTTGCGAGGCGCGATGTGCACTTTATAAGGTGCTCGTAGTGGCAGTGTACGCCGGCACGGCTCTTTCAGAAAGTAATTTGTTGAAGCCCCAACAGTGGCCAGCATTTCCTCTTTTGGAGGAAATTTAGATGTTCCTAAAGAAATGTCTAAATACAGCAAGAAGGTTTGGCTTAAAGATATTCTTAAGAATACCATTTAAAGTCTTGTAAAATTGGAAATCACATAAATCTACAGCATTCAGGAATTCATATTTATCGACCATACAGTTCACGTGTATACATTTGATGGAAAATTAGGAAGACTTTGTTGTTGTTGGAGAGGTTTTTGGTATAGGGCACGAGCACTCACCCCCCAAGGGTGCCACGGCACGATCCCTTCTCTTCCATTCTCTTCTCGGAATCTTGGGCACGCACATGCACCTGGCGTGAGTTTAAGCCACCGGGTCTGGGACTCGAATCGCAGTCTACTACATGGGAGTCCAGTGACCTAGCCATTACCCTAACTGTTGGTCCCAGGAAGACTTTTAAATCATGTTTATAAATAATTTGCATCAACTATGAAAAATATTTGTAATGTCTTGACTATATGATTATGCATTTGATCAAACTGTGGAGTCTACTACATGGTCTCTCTCTCTCTCTCTCTCACACACACACACACACACGCACACACACACACGCACACACACACACACACACACACACAACTGGAGGGAAAGTCCCAGTTTGTCCACCGTTAAGTGCTGGATCTGACAGGTGACTCTTCTGCAGAATAACGCCCTTGTCTGTCGTAGGCGCCTACCCTCGACTCTCACTGAGCTTCCGGCTGAAGAGAAACATCGGCTACTTCATCCTGCAGACGTACATGCCCTCTATCCTGATCACGATTCTGTCCTGGGTGTCCTTCTGGATCAATTACGATGCCTCTGCAGCCAGAGTCGCCCTCGGTATGTGCTATTTCCAAATGATACTTCAAATGTAAAGAGGCCGTGGCGCCATAGGGTGAGGCGCGTTCAGAGGCTGGAATTCGGCGACGGTCTTGCCGACACCCTGACACCAGTCTTGGCCACAGAGTCACTTTTTATCTTGAAGCACTAATTTCATGCACGATTCCCTTGATGTGTTAATTTAATTACAAGGCTCAAATGTGAATTTTCGTGCCCATGAAAGGGAAAAGATGCTTGCAGAATATTTGCATAATAAAACTATTTTTGACACTAAAGCAAGGATTAACATCTCCTGTTCAAATTTATTCCATGGCCCAGAAAGAAGGCTTGATTAATTGTGCATTCTTCTTTTCTAAGTCAGAAAAATAGTCAAATATTATAGCATATAATTGGAATTACACAATTTAATGAGCACTAAAATATGCAATTAGATTCTGAGTGATCCCCAGGGTCCGGGCAGTCTTTGCTGGCCCTTGGTCGACAACTGGACTATTGGCTCATGTAAACTATACACTGTCAATTTCAGTATTAATTTTAATATTTTTGATTATTAAAGGAAGGCTGACAGTTTCAGAAGCACTTTTCTCGCTCAGCTAATCATTATGAAAGTGCACAGGCAAAATAATTATTTAAATGTATTTTAGGTAATTACAGAGCTGATAAGTCATCTGCAGTTTTTCTCATCTTCAGGTAGGGTTAAGTGACATTTATGTTATGTTAAACGCCATCGGTGGGAGTCGCGAGGCCTGTGCTGTCCATGCACTCCAGGACTGGGCTGCTGCCCGGGGTCTGGGCCGCGGATACACCCGCAGCCTCCCCACGCCTGCAGAGGGGGAGGTTATAGCTGGAGGAATTTCCTCTGGACCCTGGAGCCCAGCACTGCTGAGAGTGACAGGTGGGCTCATCACTTAGGCCACCGTATTTTGATGAGGGAGGGAAATGCCATGTTTGCGTTGACTGACACAGGTAAATCAGTTGCATTTCCGTGGTCTGCGTAAACGCAGTCTTCCAAATCTAACCTTTTACTGAGATCACCTACTCGAGCCATCGGGAGGCTAGCCATCCATGGGAAGGTGTCACCGCCGGCAGCAGTGGGAAGAGCAGAGAGGCCGCCCCGCCCAGCCGCCTGCTATGGGGCGGCCAGAGTCAGGCCCAGGCTAGGAAACTGGGGCTGCCGAGCCCTGAGGTGGTGAACAGCCGTGCGATGACGGACCTCTCGTCGGTAGTGGTAACTAAGCCAGTTACCGTTGGCTGGCACTTCACCAACATGCTACCTGTGGTCTTCCCAGCTGCTCCAGACCCTGGCTGTGGACCCCCAGAGCCGGGCTCTTGGCTGGGCCACGGGGCCCTTGGCTGGGCCACGGGGCTCTGCTGTCAAGCTGTGGACCTCCACACCACCACCCCGTCCACAGCAGTCCAGATAGGAGATAAAGTGGCAGACGAGTTAGCGAGTGTGTGAGCCTTTGCAGCTCAGAGCTCACGTGAGCCCAGACTGTGGAGCCTGGGGCACTGACCGTGAAATCTCACGGGACCCCTTGGGCGTGGCTGATCAGTCTGAAACCAGGGCCCTAGCAAGCTGCTCTAGGCCTGCCCTGCCTCCGGGATGAGCTGGTGGCCCCAACCCTGAGGCTCAGCCCATTCCTGGGCACATCCACTGAGGCCAGGGTTGCCCGTGCCTGTTCTGTCATCAGCCAGAGGACCAAAGTCATGCGAAAGCCAAGCTTCTGGGCTTCCCACATCCACTGTGAGGTGTCGTGGGGACGTTGTGGCAGCTAGCTTACGGGGTTTTGAATACAGCGGGAGTGCCTGATTGTGTAGCATGTGCATGGTGCTTTCACATTTATTTGTAAACCATAAGTATCACATCGCCATTTTCAAATTTAAGACGTCTCCAGGTGCACCTGAATGTGATGCTACAGAATCTTAAACTGCTCCGCCACCCTCACGGCCTCCGCCTCGCAGGAGCGATGGTAGTCCGCAGCAGTGCGTCGGAATCGTCCCCACACTCAGTTCTCTGCTCTTGGGAGCAGTTCTGAGCACAGGCGGGAGGGCACACGCTGGAGAAGGACCCCAGGCTCCCGTGCCTCTCCAGCTGAGCTCCAGTCGTGAGGTCCTCTTGTGGGACTCACGTGATGGGTGGGTCCAGAGGGCAATAAACTAAGACACCCTGCAGATCCAAGCCCTCGGCTGCAGAGCTGGGCCGGGGCGTGTGGAGACTGGCTCGGGCTCTGGTCCAGTCTGTGTCCTGGGGCTGCAGACCCGTGGGCCTGCACTCGCTCTGGGTCTTCATTCCACATGGGGGTCGTGCGGATGAAGGCCCATGGCTAGGACCTGTGCTTCGAAAGTCTTCCTCCAGCAGGGAGGCCTGGAAGCCATGCCGAGAGCTGACCTCCCTGTTGGGACCTGGAGTACATTTCTCATCGATGTGGCGGTGTCGCTGCTGCTGTAGGAAGAGGCCGAGCCCTCGAGGCTGCCCTGCTTCCCTGAGCGTTTGAATATTTCCAGAGAATCAGAGTCTGGTAACGGCAGCCGTCACTGTCCCCCCAAGAGGCAAGAGGCTCACGCCTTTCCTGCAGGCATGGCTTAACTTGCTTCCCCAAGCTCCAGGCATGTGACTAACCAGTGGGCCCTCTAGTCTCGATGGCCTGGGATTATTCCACAGAGGGTCTTCGTGTTGCAAAAGTATGGAACACAACAGAGGATTCTGTTATCTGTGGATGGGGGAATTGTAAAAGCAACCTCCCAGGGGAAGGACAGCATTTCCCCTAGAGAAACAGTGGAGTTTTCAGACAAACCCATGTAAAAACTTCAACATAATGACGTAAGAGGGGAGGAGAGGGAGTGAACTGGTCATTTGTCCCCGGTAAGGTGAGATTCCATATGGTTCATAAAATCATTAACCCTCGACTTGAATGGACCTTTCGAGACAGCTCAGAGGTGGTCTCTTCTGTAGCTGAGGGAACTGTCAGAGACTCTGCAGTCGGGTCAGCTTGGAGCCCAGGACCAGATCTCATTCCCCTCCAGCGAGTGCTGCAGCCCCACCCGCTCCGCGTGGGGAGTCCCTGATTCCCTCACGCCCCGCCTCTCCCGCCATAGATGAGCTCCATCCACTCCCTGGAGCTCACCCTGACTCGGCGTGTTGTCACCTAGCTGCTGTCACTGCCTCTCGTGTGCACGAGAGCATGTCCCTCTCCCCTCCCTGAACCTCCCCCTTCCTCTCCCGAAGCTCCTTTCTCTTCATTGGCAAGGGGTGTGAGTGTCGGGGGAGTGGAGTCCCATCCCTGTGGGGATGCCAGCTGGCTGCACTGTGGTGTGACACCTCTGTCACCTCCCGGCCACCCGCAATATTCAGCCCGCGGCCCCTGCCCCTCCGGGCTGGCTGAGAAAATCAGAAGGAGGTGAGCAGAGCCCTGGGGCCACGCCGCAGGCTGCTCACCACGCCGCTTCCCTTCCAGGGATCACCACCGTGCTGACGATGACAACCATCAACACACACCTCCGGGAGACCTTGCCCAAGATCCCCTACGTCAAAGCCATCGACATGTACCTGATGGGCTGCTTCGTCTTCGTGTTCCTGGCCCTCCTGGAGTACGCCTTCGTCAACTACATCTTCTTCGGGAGAGGCCCTCAGAGGCAGAAGAAGCTCGCAGAGAAGAGCGCCAAGGCCAAGAACGACCGGTCGAAGAGCGAGGCCAGCCGGGTAGGCTCCCGTGAGGGGTGCCCGGGGTGGGTGACCGCGACAGCCGGCGTGTCTCCTCAGGGGCCCGCCACCCCGTTGGGTGTGAGTGACCGCGCTGATGACCCCCGCCCCTGCCAGCCTCTGGTCCACCCTCTGCCCACGGTCCCCCGGAGACATGCCGGCTGCGGAGGGAGAGAGGGCAGGAGTCCTGGGAGATCCGCCCTGGTCCTGCCCCCTCAGAGCAGAGCCCAGCAGAGCCCGGGCGGCCAGGGCACGCTGCATCAGGGAACCGTTGACTGCTCGCCCCCGGGGAGCTCCAGCTAGGCCGCTCGCCCCACCCGGGACGCGAGCTGTGACGTCTTCCAGTTACCACTCACTTTGTCATTCGAAGTCACTTCAGCTTATTTCTGATAAGACCAGTACATTATTGAATGACGAGCCACAGACTAATGAAAGTATACTGTGGTTTCTATATGATTTAAAACCCGTATCCTTCCCCCTCTTTCATCCCCGCGGTTCCTGAAAATACGTTTTTACCTGTTGCATGCTGGGCTTGTTCCTGCATTACTTTATTCTTAAAAAATTCGCCTCGTTAGACTTCAGTATTTTCCAAGCCCATGGGCGTTTCTGGGTCTTTGCTGAGTGTGTGGTCTATGCCTGCCAGGGCAGGGAGGGGCTCCCAGAGAACCCCACTCCTGCAGGCCTCGTGCTGGCTCAGGTCAGTCCAGAAGTGCTCGGAAGGAGGGAGGCACACCAGGTAGTGCCCAGCTTCCATCCTTCCGGAAAACCCCACATGAGGTCGGGACCTGCAGATGGCGTAATGGTTACGTCGCTGGACTCCCACATAGCCGACCGTGGTTCGAGTCCCAAACCCACTGACTTAACACTCATGCCGGGCGCGTGTGCGTGCATGCTCAAGATCCCGAGAGGAGAATGGAGGAGAAGGGATTGCGGCATGGCCATCCCCCTGGGGGTGATTTCTCGCTTTCTGTCTCTCTGTATCTCTGGCAAGTACATGCGCCCTACAGCAAAAATCTCTCTTAAAAAAGAAAAAGAAAAAAGAACAAAGAAAACCCCACATAAGGTTGTCCAGAAAGACCCAGGATCTGTGAGTAAAACCAGGCTTCTATAGGAGGGATGCTCTTGGATTTCTGACGGAGAAATGTACTTAGCACCACTCTGCTCGGTATCTGGGAGCCGGCCTCCTCCTGCGTGTGCATGGTGGGCGGTGGGCATGCCGCCGCCAGGGGAGCTGGGACTCACCACACGGTTGCCGCTTCATCGCAGAGGCAGCCGTGCACACACACGCATGCACACACGCACACACACGCACACATGCACACACACAGCTGCCTTTCCAGGTTCCTGCCTGCTGGAAACAGGTTGTACATTTCTTGTCTTTTTCCTTCAAGACACTGTTGGAACCGCCACGGTGTTTTCTGCAGAAATACCTTTCTGAGTGCGCACACACAACACATGCCCCGGTACCAGAGAGAGAGTTAGCAGAACATAGCAAAGAAGTGACAAGCCGGGTGCAGAGGACATTTTCAGTTGATTCTCATGTCCATTCTATTGTTTTTCCAAACATTTGTTTCTCTGTTTTCCTAACAGTTTTGGTAAAGCCTTTCCTTGTTCACAGTTTTTCTTTTTAATTTGCCAGAGGGTGCGTGCACTCACTGGAGAGAGAAGGGGGGGCAAGAAAGCACCCCCATGAGGCACGGTCACGCTGCAGACCCTTCCGCATTTCTCTGCCCTGTCAGGATCCTGGGCACACGTGCACACGTGCCCGACATGTTTTTCAAATTGCTGGGTCCAGGACTCAGCATGGATCACTGGTCTTGGGGGATGCAGTCTCTCAATCCCCAGGCCGTGTGCTGAACTTCCTTGTTCGCATTTTTTAGAAATCTGTAAATGTCCATCAGGCCTTAATGTAAAGTGTGCATGCGTGCAACTTTTCAGTGAAAATTTAAGGCTCATAAAAGTAGGAATTACAAATTGTTCCCGGCTACCATCCTAGAATTTAGTGGTAAGTACTTGGTAAAAAAAAAAATTTTTTTTTCAAAGTTTATTTATTTGTTCAATAGGAGAGAGAGACTGACACCCCAAACATGCCATGACCCTCCCGACTCAGCCCGGATCTCAAGCATGCTCGCACATCCAGTGTGTACAGGGAGGTCCTGGGATTCAAACCAGGGGCCTTCCCACTCCCATGTGGGTTCAGCTGTGTCATTATTTATCCCCACCGATCGTGTTTAAATACCAATGGGCCTCCCAAAAAGTTGATATCAAGTGATGCATGTAAATTAAAAGAAAGTAAGACAAGAACCAGAAATCCCATGCGAAACACAAAGAATACCTACACACTGGCTGGCAGCCCCAACTGTCCGTTATAACTGCGACCCCTCCGTCCTTGGTGACAGCACTCGGGCTGCCGATCGGGGCAGCCAGCAGCACCCGCAGCTGTCCCCGACAGAAGTCTCTGGCTCTGCAGCAGGGACGTGCCTTCTCACTGTCTCCTGCGTCTTGGGAGGGAAGTCAGCGCCCTTGCAGCTCCGTAGGCCTCCCAGGAGGGCTCTGCGTCTGCGGCTGGGACTGCGTGGACCCTTCTGTGACACCACGAGAAGATTCTCCTATTTTGTGGTTACACTGTGCTCTGGGTAGCTGATACATGAATGCTCAGAAGGCCCAGGTAGTCACCGAGTCCCTCCTGCGACGGGCTCTAAGGGAAGCCTAGGCCGTCTGCTTGTCCCCGATTTGCCTCTGTGCCCAGGTCAGTCTCTGGGTACGATGCATGCATCATGGTCATAGAGCGCGTGACATTTTGCAAGTTGGCCGGTTGTGTTTGCACTCGCGAGGTGGTAGGCATTACTCTTGCCAGGCGTCAGAGCTGCAGACTCAACATTGTTCTTGCCACAGGGCGAGGTATCATTCCTTGCATAACGAATCCTTCCTGCTTCTCCTAGAACTAGAGCCTTAGACTTACTAGAAGCTGGAAGGTAAGTCGAGAGTGACATCCCGACTGTGCCACTCCGTGACATATTCCAGGAAAACACCCAAACCGTTCTGTGATAAAAGGCTGAATAGGATGTTTTTCAGTCTTTGAACGTCTGCACCTGTCAAGGTTTATAGAGCAAGAAGAAATACTGCATTGAAATCAGTGGTTCTAATTATAGTCGGTACTAGATGAGCCCTCAAAATAAGGAGTGTTCATGAAATGGTTTAAAAATCGCAAGTCATCTGTCATCCTATAAAGGGCATTTCAGCCTTCTATTTCACCCACGATCGCTTCCTTCTATTTTAAGACTTAAATTCTGGGTGAAAAAGATGATCATCTCTTTTGGAAATATTTGAAATGTTTGATTTCTAAGATTTAACAGATTTTAATAACCCTTCCTTTTTTTTTCAGAAATTAAAAAAAAAAAAAAAAAAAAAGCAAACAAACAAAAAAACGAAACAGAGTTATCAGAGTACTTTTCATGGATTTCCCTAAAGAGGTAATATTTGGACTATAGCTTATTACAAAATGTTTTAGGAAGAGCATCAGAATAAAACAATTACCTATGGACTACAAAAAAAAAAAAAAAGCTATGAATCAAGATCTGTTAAAGGTGTATGATAACACCAAATTGACAAATTTGGTCATTGCTGTGACAAACAACATTACAATTACACTAATTAGATATTATTTTCTACACATTGGTTCAGGGTTAAATAAAAAGCAAATCAATGTAAAACTACAAGTAAAGCAGCCAAGCTATTTTACACCCGGGTCTTACTAACCCGGCATATATTCCAGTTCCTCTCCACACTCAAGCATGGGCCGCTGCGACGCTGTCTCTGTTCCCAGCGTTCACCTCCTCTGAAGTGAGGGCCATGGCGGCCGTCGTGGTTCTCGGCTCCTTCTTCCCGGAGCCGTGTCCTGAGCCGGCCCCAGCTGGCCGTCAGTGCCTGCAGCTCTCAGCGTCACTTCAGTTCTGTAAATCACAGCCCGAGTCGTAGGAATGCGGGTTGGCTTCCCTCGGGCTACTCCCTCGGCCTGAGAAGGACATTGATTCATACAGGACTGCCACCGAGTCTTGAAACGTCAACTCAGCACTCAGTTGACCTCATTTCTGTGTCTTCTCCCCTCGCCCCCCGCGCGCCCTAATGTCGCCACGTGCCGTGGATCTCCTTGGTCCCACTGTTTCTTCACTCCCCTGATAGGAAGGGAGGACAGGCCTATACATGCCCCCTTCTTACAGCCGGGCGAGGGACCAGCAGATGGCAAACCGGTACACCGCTGGGCTCCCGCGTACTCCACCGTGGTCCGAGTCCCAGACCCAGTGGTTTCAAACTCACGCTGGGCGCATGCGCGTGCATGCCCAAGATCCTGAGAGGAGACTCAAAGAGGGGAGACTGCAGTGTGGCCATCCCCCCTGGGGGGGGGGTATTTCTTGCTTTCTATCTCTCTGTCTCTGTCTCTCCAGTGAG